GATTGCCATGAAAATCGAAATGATTTCCAAGATTGCTGAAATAATCGCAATAATTTCCAAGATTGCGGGACTGCAAAATGATTATCGCAGGACTGCGGAAGGCATTGCGAAAAAAATACTTGCGATTGCGCGATTGCCACATTGATTTCGAGCGATTTCGAAGGCTGCGACGAGAAATTTGGACACGCCCCTATGACCGCATCCACAAGATTTCCGCGACTGCGAACACGATTTTTGCGACTGCGAACATGATTTCCGCGACTGCGAAGAAGAATGCGGGATTTCGGGCTATTTTGGCGACTGTCTAACGGAAAATGCAGGATTTCCTTATGATTTCGAAGAAATTTTAATAACATGTACATGTATTGCGGGGAAAAAATTACCACCCCCAATTAACACTCGTCGTGATATTTTTAAATTTTCAGTGGCATTTGTAGGCTATAAAATGGAGTAAAAACATGTTGTTACCCCATGTAATATACTTTCCTTTTTTTTGTATCAGAGAATTTGATTTATTTTATTTTTTTTCCTATTTTTTAAGTTCTTGTCGAGGTTCTTGTTATGAGAATTTTGCTAAAATTTGATTTTAGAAGCTTTCAGCGGGATTTTGTTCCTTATAGGTCGCTTTGGTTAAGGTTGTATGTTTAATAATAAACCAGTTTTTTGATTTGAATTTTTTATTCCATTCGTGCTTCCCTATTTATTGAGCTACAAAGTCGAGCAAAAAACACGAAAGTGTCCGTCTTCACACGCTCTATGCCATCATTGCCCCAAAGCATGTCTAACGCGTTTCAGTAGGGAACTAAAGAAAAAACAAAAACAATTGGTAGAATGTTGAGGGTAGAATCTATAGCAAGAAAAATTATAGACATTTTCAAGCTGATACTCAATTGTTGAACTGGAATGTGGTTTTCCAGCATAATAATCCACTAGAACACTTTACTAATTTGTTGATTTTAACCTTTAATAACAATTTCCCCTTGCAAAAAATTAAAAAGAAAAAGTTCAAAAAACCCTGGGTAACAAAAGGTTTGAAAATATCATCAAAGAATTTAAGATGTCTTTGTAATCTTAAAAAATATTTTCCATCTGAATTTATAACAAACTATCTTAATAAGTACAAGAGAATGTATAAGCAAGTCATTAAACTAGCAAAAAGGGACTACTATAAAAATAGGCTAAGTCGCTCAGGAAACAAGGCTAAAGAAGGGTGGACTATTGTGAGTGAATTAACAGGAAAATATAATTTGAACAGTAATCAAATTACCATAGATTCAAATATACTCAATGAATATTATTGTAAAGTAGCTAGAGAAATAATGTCTAATCGTTGACTTCCTCAATCAACGGTCTAATTTAAAACCACAAATTGACCCTCTATATTTCCTACAAAACATAAATATCATAGAGAGTTTTTTCTTACGACATACTGATCTAAGAGAACTTAAACATGTTATTAAAAATATACAAAATAAAACCTCCACTGGAATAGATAATATATCAATTAAAATATTTGAAAATTTATCAGATAATGCATTAAACGTTTTGGTAAATGCTATAAATAATTCATTTGACACTGGTGTGTTCCCGCAATGTTTAAAAATAGGTTTAATTACGCCAATATTTAAGGGTGGAGATTTGGAAGACCCCTCTTCTTATCGACCCATCTCTCCTCCTTACTCTTCTAAAATAATGGACAAAGTGATCAAGGATAGAATGATGTCATTCATAAACAAACATAATATTTTAAGGGAGTGCCAATTTGGATTTCAAACAGCAAAAAGCACTAATGACGCGCTAATTAATTTTTTGCAGAAACTTTATTTAAATCTCAATGATGGAATGGTGGCTTTGGCAGTGTTCTGCGACTTGTCAAAAGCATTTGACTGCGCGAGGCGTGAAATACTGCTGAAAAAACTAGAACATTATGGATTTAGAGGTATTGTGTTGAAATGGATATCTTCGTACTTATCAGAGACAACAGCTTGTTGGGGGATACGTGTTGGGACCACTCCTTTTTTTTTTTTTTATGATACAACAATTCTGTGGGTGGATCAGTACTCTAATCAGCTAGAAGCACGAATACAAGCTGATATATGCAAAATAAAACAATGGTGTGATGCCAATTATTTTTCTTTTAACATCAAAAAAACAAATATTATGACTTTCAAGGGCAATATAGCGGACATAACTTTGGGCAATGATGACATAGAAAAAACCCAAATCTCAGAGTTTTTGGGTATACAGGGTGTCCCACGGTGGATGGCGTATTAAACTAGTGGCAACATCACTATTTTAAATGGAACACCCCGTATTTAATTGCATATTTGGATTCTATGTAAAATTCTGAGCAGATTTCATGTGATATACCCTATACCTAAGTTCAATGTTTTGGAAATATTGACAGTTGAAAATTGACTTTTTGCAACTTTGACAGGCTGTAAAACCTAATTGGTTAATTTTAGAGGAAAACCGATTTCACATTCCTATCTTAGATTTTGATAAACTATCATTTAACACCAACTTTGAACTTAATAACCAGAGATTAAATTCAACTGAAGTTTTTAATCATGGATTTAATTCTAAGTTGGTGTCAAATGATAGTTTATAAAAATCTAAGATAGGAATGTAAAATCGGTTTTCCTCTAAAATTAACCGTTCAGGTTCTACAGCCTGTCAAAGTTGCAAAAAGTCAATTTTCAACTGTCAATATTTCCAAAACAGTTGAACTTAGGTATAGGGTATATCACATGAAATCTGCTTAGAATTTTACGTAGAACCCCAATATGCAATTTAATACGGGGCGTTCCATTTAAAATAGTGATGTTGCCACTAGTTTAGAGTAGAAGCGGCAACACCGCATGGTCAAAAATATTTTTAAAGTGTAGATCATGGTCGTTTATCCCGGTTGCCAAATTTTCAAAATGATCCGCTTTTTAGTTCTCCATAAACGTCTAATACGTCATCCACCGTGGGACACCCTGTATATATAGACTCAAAATTGAGATTTTCTGAGCACATAACATCACTAAACAAAAAATTATCATCGGCTTGCTACGCCATACGGATAGTTAGCAATAATCTAAGTCATACTGTATCGAGATTTGTGTATTTTGCGCTTGTTCAGTCAAACTTGACTTATGGAGTAGCATTCTGGGGTCATGCCCCTAAACACCTGATTCAATCAGTGTTTATACTTCAGAAAAAAGCCTTGAGATATTTGTGCAAATTAGGGCCCAGAGACCACTGTAAGCCATTCTTTGTGAAGGAAAAAGTATTAACACTCACTTGCCTCTTCATTGTAGAAGTTGCAAGTCTGGTACATAAAAAATATGAAAATGTTCAAGATAGCTCTAAATATGAGACTCACAGAAATAATGAACTGCGACTACCTATCCCAAAGAGCTCATTGATTAGGAACTCACTGATATATGAGGGATTAAAAGTTTATAATCACTTACCACAAGATTTCAGAAATATCAACAATGATAAAATCGAGGATAAAATATTCTCACAATTTGGGGGTGGATTACGAACTCTCGATTCGAACCGAAACCGCCATGGATTTCGAACGCACTCTATGCAAATGCATCAGAATGCGTTCGAAATCCATGGCGGTTTCGGTTCGAATCGAGAGTTTGTAATCCGCCCCCTGTAAAACGTTTACTACAATCTAAAGCATACTACACCTTGGAAGAGTTTTACAGTGAAACATTTTAAACTGCATGTAATATGTAAGTTTTTGTTAAATCTCGAGTTAAATTTTGTATACACATGTGTATGTTTGTCTGCTTTATTATTATTATTATGTATTTCATCTCGATTTGATATACTATTTTCTTTTTATATATACCTACAGCGTTGTTCTTGAGAACTGATTATGTTCTTCGTAACAATAAAGCATATTTTGATTTGATTTGATTTGATTTGAACCTTGACTTTGGGCATCCCAAGTGAATCTATAAATTATAATGAGTTAATGTCTGTCCTAAATCTTGAAAATCTGAACCAGAGGCGACAGTTTTTTGATATGTGTACTTTGTTTAAGATTGTTAATAATTCTATTGATTCTCCAGACTTACTTGCTAGAATTGGCTTACATGTACCATCTAGCAATTTAAGAGGAAACACATTGTTTAACCTTGATTTTCGTAGAACGAATTATGGTTACCATTCACCTTTACTTAGAAGCTGTCGTTCTCTGAATGATATTATTTTGAAGACTGATTTGGATGTTTTTAACATAAGTTTGGATAGATTCAAAAGAATTTTAAAGTCGATCCTAAAATGATCGTTTTTTCTATTTGTATTCAATTTTAAGCGTATTATGTTGTTTGTGTTTTGATACCTACTACAAAATATTTGTTTAGGCTTATGTAATGTTGTTTTTTTATACTAACTTGTCTGTTGCCTACTTGTTATTCCAAATATTTATTATTGCGTGTACCTACACTTTAAGTCTACCTTTGTAAAAATGGCATGTCCGTAAATAAAGAATTTATTTATTTGACTGTCGGCCACATTTGCCCTAAATCACGGGGTAATTGTGGCATTTGTCCAATGAAAAAAAAAATCGTTACACTTTATCAGTAATATTCTCATATAGAGTGCTGATTCGTTTAGCACAATAGTTAAGCTACAATTAAAAAAAAAAGTTTTCTATGTTCATAAATGCCTTAGAAATGCACGTTTGAAAACGAAAATCACATTACCATGCCGCAATTACCCCGCTTCACCCTACATTTTTGTTTATAAAATCAACGTGAAATGATTTCGTTTCAATTTGATCCATCCTCGGATTCACCACGGACCTTCTTATAAATAAATTAAAAACAAATTGTCTTCTAGGTATGTAAAATGTACAGAAAATAAGAAACAGAGCATCACTTTGATGTTCTTTGAGCTAATGCAAGTTTGAAGATTTGGGCTTAATTTATTTTTGTGTTCCCAGTCTCACTTGTAATTATAATATGCAAGTTATCAAGTATAGGTGTACTTACTTGGCTTTAGCTCTGGTCAATTTTGGTTCATAAGGTATTGGTACAGAATCATCTTTCCCGAACAATGCTCTAACATGTTCATTGGTCAAAACTTGTCTTATAATCGATTTCACATTAGTAACAGTCAAATTATTCTTTTCGGCCTTCTCATCCAGCTGCTTTCCAATTTCGTTTTCGATGCTATCAATGATGACTTGTTCTTGTTGGGGTGTTATTGTAGGGCTCGAAGATTTCACTGGAGAGACGATTCGTAGATCGTTGTCTGAATCCTCTACATTTGAGTCGTTTTCACTAAGTTCGGTTGTCGGGGGCGCTACATTAGTAACAGTCAAATTATTCTTTACGACCTTCTCGTCCAGCTGCTTTCCAATTTCGTTTTCGATGCTGTCTATGATAAATTGTTCTTGTTGGGGTGTTATTGTAGGGCTCGAGGATTTTACTGGAGAAACGATTCGTAGATCGTTGTCTGAATCCTCTATATTTGAGTCGTTTTCACTAAGTTCCGTTGTGGGGGGCGCTTCTGAGGGCTCTTGATCAACATCAGTGGTTTCACTAACCTCAACATTCATTTTGGAGAATTTATTGCTGTCCAGTTTCTAAACGGTTTTTCATAGAGGATCTTCTATCATCTTGTAGTATGAAAGCATGAAACTAACTAAAAAGTCAAAGTAAAAGAAATTTGAATTTTGTTGTTTACTAATACAAATAAACACAAACAAGCACCTGACAACTGTCCGTCATGTATGACAGTTTGAGTTTGTTCGATGTGTTTGTTCGTTTGTGCTGTCTTTCATCTTTCATGTCCAGTTCTGTTCCGTTCCGAACTAGTGTGATTTTTGTGTAGTGCAGACAGAGTACCGAGTGTAATCAAGTGATGTCGTTGCGTGTGCAGTCGAACACCAAGCTGTATTCCTTTCAAGATTTTGAAACACTAGAGCTACTCGATCCGGTGCTAGTCGCCCCGATTTGGAAAGAACAGGTGCGCTGGCTTTCGTGCATTTAAATGGTTTATTTACGACTAATGTGCGTATTATATTTGTGATTTTGGCAGTATAATGACATATGTTATTCCTCCAGGAATTAATGACGAGTAGCGGGATTAATGATCATTATTCCACAAAAGTGTCAGTGTCAAACGTGTAGTGCTTGTGGATTTGTATTGAAAATTATAAGACGGATGAAATTTGTTCATTAAAAATCTCAAATAAATTAATTTGTCGTAAATAAAGTAGAGTATACTACTCGCAATAATGGCTATTATTCCCTCGGAATGTTACTCCCTCGCCGCTAACGCGGCTCAGTTCGTAATAATCCTCGGGAATAATAGCTATCATTATTGACTCGTGGTATAATCTACTATTATTTGTATTTCGGGTTTGAGTACTCAGGTGCAATACAAACACTTTTCGAAAGGAATAAGCGCGTCGCGTAACGCCCCGGAGCTGTTCCGGAGCTCCTCATAGGTGTGAAAGGAATACAACTAATTACAACTCACAATTATTATGCCTTTACTCAGGGCCGGTTTCTCAAAATCAAGTCACCCCTGGGTTAAGGGAAACGGGTAACTCCTGCTGGGATCACGACAAGTAGAATTCCACTGGAATTCTACCTTCATGACGTCGGGTTGCCTAGCAGCCGTCATCATCGCCTGTACTGTACGCGATAAATAGGTCTCGGATGACGCCATGAAAGTAGAATTCTACTTGTCGTGATCCCAGCCGGGTAAACATTGCAACTGGACACTGGGCAACTGGACACGTTTACACCAGAGACATGAGTATGAAATGGACTGCGTGTTCCGTATAATTGCCGTACGCGGCAGTGATGGAAAGATGGTTAGGCAACCAGTCTTTCGCATTGTGGGCAAGAAGCTACACAAGTTCATTACCCACAACGAGAAATAACACATATTTTCATTTAAAGGTGACATATAATTGGTTATCCATAGTGTATCATTAAAAACTAAATACCAGACGTGCTTAAATGTATGTATTTTGTGCAGACCTGTGAGGCAAAAAAATAAAACAACACTTAAAAGTTAGATAAAAAAACTTGTTATTCCTAAACAATTCTTGGGCAAATTCAAAAGCACAAAATACTAGATTGTAAGGTACAAATACTTATATGTAAACTTAAATTTAGGATTTAGATGCAAAACTAATTTTAATTCTACTGGTTCCTAAAAATTACAAGTTTTGTATACATTTGCCTAACTCTATCAGTGATTCTACTTGCTTCCTTATTCTGATAATGGATTCTAACGAGAAAATAAACACGTAAAATTGCGTTGATCAGCTGAAGTAAATGATTATTAATAGGATCTTGGTCCAATATATGATCACCAAGCTCCTTATAATAATTGTGAATGTTCATGTCACTCATGGTCCATATTATAATTTTTTTGAGTGTAGTGTTTGGCGCGTAATGAGCACGAAATTTTTTTTCGGCTAAACTGCACAGTTTTATTAGATCTTCTGATGCCTTACATAATCCCCCAAGATCTTTTCTATTTAGTAAAAGTGATGACGACTCATCAGAAAACAAAAAATTACAACAAATCGCGTATCCAACACTAACGTATAACAGGTGCGCGCGGATATCTGCCCCTAATGTGCCGTTAGGGTTGCCTACCATGTTTACATCACTGTTCGTGCCGTACGCCCAGTCCATTTCATACTCATGTCACTGGTTTACACTGGAGTTAAAACCAACCCGGAGGTGACTCGCTATTGAGAAACAAACCCCTTATGGAATATTTTTATTTAATTTTTTGGAAATAATTTACCAATGAAGAATTTGAGTTTGTTTTTTTTTTACTATTAAACATCAAATATTGCGAGTAGCTCTGTGTTCTAAAAACTCTTGAAAGGAATACAAGTAATCTCCCGGCTTAACTGCTCCAGAGCGCTCGCGTTTGGGCGGTGACGTCTCAGATCTCTGCGGAAGTTCTTCGAGGGGCGATTGAATATACAAGCGAGAGCCGCTTTCCAGTATGGGAGTGTGACGCCCGGAGCTACTCGGGGCGTTGAGCTCCCGAGCTGTACGTACGCGTCAACCTGTCAGCTGTCACACCCGTGGGTGGTTATTTATTTATTTATTTCTTGTTATATCTCAAGATTGAACATTTTAAAATAGTATATTCAAGTATTAAGTGGATATTAAGGTCTTTAAAACACGCGCGATTTTTCGAAATAGAGCAAGTGTTTTAAAAACCAGTTATCCACGAATACTTTACACTATTTTTTTTTATTGGTACCTATACGTTCAAATCATAAATTACTAATAATTTTAGAATGCTAAATTCGTGATTAATCGTGATATGACATCATACCTTTGTTGTCTGACAAATCAATAATTAAAAAGTTGACATTTAGACTTTACCTTTCGGCAAGAATCGTAAACTCTACAGGATTGCTCAATCGGCTAAATTTGTTCACAATTGCTGTGACGTCACGCGCATGCCGGATTTTCAAGATGACCGCTGATACGAATGATGTTTAGTTTGTGCTGACAACTATTTTATCGTAAATTCGGATTTATCTAGTGTTATAAGTGTAAATTTAAAGTTTCATTTAATGTGTGTAAGCATAAAAGACTCGTGGCTGAAAATACTCGCGAAAACCCCAAGCATTTTCTGGTTTTATAATACTGGATTGGATTTGTTGTATCAGGACATCGCTCTTTTATTTGTGTGTATTGCTAGTTAGTATTTCCTACAGTGGCTAAATAAACCTTTACATACATACATCTTGTTCCCAATCTCTTGTTACTTTTAAATATTAATGTATAGGATTTAAATGGACATCTTTCATAAAAAATTGAAATCGACGTATTTGGTGACCATTATTAGGTCCATCAAATACGTTGTTTCCCATGATTTATGATGGATGTTCACCTAAATCCCATATATTCATATTTAAAAGTAATAAGGGGTTGGGAACAAGATGGCGATGTTTTCAATATAAATATATGGGATTTTAGAACCAATGAAAAATGAGACAGCAATTGTCGCCACTGTAGGTTATAGAGTCACTGTAGTATTTCCTAGTCAAGCATTTGTTTTGCTTTTTTTTTATAAATCAAATATCAGCAGTATTGCAAGCCTCACTACGTTCGGCTCGCAAACCTACTGCTTCAGCACAAAAAAGTAAAGCTTCTACTCCTAATACAAAAATATACTATTTGATTCTCTTTCATTTATGATAAATAAAAAAACAAACTGCACAACCGGCACAACCAAACAGATAATTATGTTTAAAATTTGACATATTTGACACTAAGACAGGCGTCTCACGTCATGATACTGGAACGGTACAAATCTAGTGCGTGGCGCCCCCGAGGTGCTCTAGAACGCGCCAGAGCGCGCCAATGTGCATACTGGAAAGCGGCCGAGGGCACACCATTTGAAATCAATAGCCGAACCTACTTTATTGTTCTGATCAGGGATCGGACTCGTTGATCCGTCGAATTTGACAGAGTAAGAAAGAGCGCTCCGTGCGAGATTTGAGAGTGTTCTATTGCTTGAGTCGAACAATTAAATGTCGCCAAGAGCAACGCTCCGTTTTGAGCCGAACATGTGAATACGTTTCGGATCCGTTTTTGATCAATCGGGTGCAGTTTTGAGGCAAAAGTCAAAAGCCCTATCAAGAGTTGCAAGCTGCGGAGCTATTCGTTAAGAGTCGTTCGGAGTCTCTCAAACAGAATGTGTTTTCAAATGTGCTCCATGTTTGATATCCGATATTCATGTCCCGATTCCCGATTACTCCCGACCATCGTGATGAAACTGCGAAAGGAGAACCCTACACCTAATAACAAGAACGCGGAGCAACCTTGTGAAACAGCGATGGCGATAAGGCCTTAGGGGACAGGAAGAAGCACCGGGATGCATATTCATTTTTTGCCAACGTAATAGGACCTTCGGCTGCATTCGTGTTCGTTCGAGCACAGCATAGGCGAATTATGATTGAAGTGGATTAACGTTGGCAGTTTAGAGCCTGCCTGGCGTTCGGGAAAATATTCTCTAAATAAATTAAGTTGGAAAGTGGCAATTATTGTTGAAGAAATACCTTTATTAAAAGTTTAAAAATTAATCATTGTGTCTATTTAAAGGCCCTAGAATTTTTTTGGTAGATTTGAGTTAGTTTCGGTTGGTTTGCGTTAGTATGGGTTATTTTTGGTTGGTTTCGGTTAATTTTGGTTAAAAAACCGCACTAGGCGCTGGTCCTTTCTATTTCCTTTTTTCAAGCAAATAAATTAGAAGTACCTAATCCAAATTAACCCAAAATGACCCGTGCTGGAAATGCGACCCAATCTCTGTTTCTGAAGCTGATCAAATAGCGAAAAAAGAGCGCGTTTAAAAAATAGAGCGCATGTATGTATTATTAAATTTTGAATAAATAGGTATTATGAGTTACTGAAGTTGGATTCTCTGACGTTGTGCGACAGAAACACAGTTCAGCTAAACATTTATTTTACAACAAGAAGAGAAAAAAAGATCTTTTGTATTTTGAACTTTTCATATTTTCGATATTTTGCATTTTCGACATTTCTCAATTTTCACCTTTTGCATTTTCTTATTTCATTTTTTTTTAGCTCACACTCTATAAAATAATTAGTTTCCATGGGGTAGTTCCAAAGACATCGGTAGTTCTATCTAACACAATATTATGCCATTCATTGTTTTCATGTAAATAAAATTCTTATCGTTTATCTTCCCTTCCTTTGGATG